TCTTTGTTCTCCAAAAAGAGCTCCTATCCGTCTAACACGCTGAAGTATTATTATGACTGATAACTGAAGTTAGTCATAAATGAGCTACGGAGTAATTAGCTACGCTCGGCACGTATTAGGGCTAATATCATAAATCGTGAGGGGCATCAGCGTAGGTACTTTGACTAAAACTTTGCATAAGAGCATTGATATGAACTGAGCAGACTTGAAAAAGTCAGTTGCTTTTACGTGAGCTACGAAATCAGACATAACCTCCAACGATTGACGAGGGTTAACCCGCGCCCCGCTGAAAATAACAAAATAAGGTTATGCATGATTTCATTTTGTCGATCAAATGGCTCTCTGTGTTTTGAAAATTTTGGATTTGAGGCCAATTTTTTCTTTTAAAAAATCTGATTTTTTTGGGGAGAAATAGGTAATTGTAAAATCCAAAATTTTGAGTGTATCGAAAAACCGGATCTTATGTCAGAAAAGTGGTCTATGTGCACCTACATACCAATTTTTTTGAAGAATCGGTTCAAAAATGTGGGAGTTATTCAAAATTTTATGACGTCACGACACACATTTTTTTATGATTTTTTTTGGAAGTTCTAGACCTCGTACGGAAACAAAAATAGCACCATTCGATTTTCCGTGAAAAACAGCATCAGATAGACACATTTTTAGGCCTAAACAACCAACTTTAAAATTTGACCTCACTTGACCTGACCTCGACCTGAAATTCATCCAGATGTGGGCCATATCAATTAATGAGTGTGCCTATTGAATTCCATGAGTAAAATGACCCATAAATCATGTGTCGCACATGCCGTTTTCTATATTTTGTTTTTGGTGAACTGACCTGACCTGACCTTGACCTTTGAATGATATTGTATGCAACGAATACTGTCTTGGTAGCCTAAGAACACGTTTTGGGCAATCAGTCTCAGTCCATTTTTCGGCACCTACGGTGCAAGGCCGATACTATAGAAACTTGCATTTTGTACCCTTGACCTGACTTTGACCTGACCTCTGACCTTCTTAAGCAAAAGAAAAATTGGGCTCTTAAGATCCGCCTTGTTGAGAGCTTTCGATTGCCGTTTTCCCCGTCTTTTTACGACCATCGGTTCGGAAGTTAGACAGGGGGGGTCAGAATCTGCCCCCCCCCCCCAGCAGGGCGCGTATGGCTGAATAGCCCAGCGGGGCGCGGGTTAAACATCGTGAGGTGAGGCATTGACTTATCTTTTAGCTACACTGTACCAAGCGCGAAGTGACGCCTGATTTCCACAGTCGCACAAGAACAAAACTTCTGCATGGCACATTCTACGTTGCAGTGTGTTTCGGCCAAACACCATGGGAACCTAATCATTTCATCCATAGGACATGTAATAGGTAGCAGGGTTGGCATTTTTGCCGGCAAAAACTAGTTTATGCCATTTGCCGGTTTAAACCGGTTTTAACCGGCAAAAAGTGGCAAAAACTGGCAAAAACTCAAAACCATTACAATGCTTTGCCTAGACATGCATTTGAATTGGAAACATTCTAAGGGGGATTCAGTGAAAGTTAAATGCTTTCAAAAAGAAGTGACATATTGACCATTCGACCAGTGTTTCATACAATAAAAACATTTTCATGGGCTTCCCGCTTTCCATTAGTAACCAGGACGTCTTTTTGGGGCGACAAATGAGCCAGTGCAAGAGTGATTCCTGCAAGTGCACATGCAGAAGTGCGAAGGGGTACCTGTCACTGATTTGTGCACGTGACGGCACCCATACTCACTGGTTCCTAACGGTATAGGTACCAAATTTGAGCTCAATCGACGCAGCCGTTCTCGAGTACTGGAAGTGTCGTCCCACACGTGCGCTCGTAGAAAGTTGACCCCGACTGACTTATCTGCGACACCCATAGGTACTAATCTGTCTGTAACGGTGTTCCAAATTTGAGCGCAATCGGCAGAGCCATTCTCGAGATCTGGTCGAAAGCAACGCCTGCACGTGTGCACCTGCAGTAGGTAGCAACCTAACCGTGATGCATGGAAATGCCAAGATTCTTCGGAAATGCATTGTCTGACGGATGTCTACCGACATGCATAGACATTGCCGCCCGGGTAACTAATGGGGCAAACTTCAGAATGTTTAGCGCGTCTCTTAAACATCCAGAAATGCATTTGTACATTTCAAATCAATTGCCAACCAGAAAAGTTGCAAGTCTTGACCACCTGAGTTTTTGCCAGTTTTTGCCACCAGGGTTTCTGCCAGCCGGTTTAAACCGGTTAAAACCACTGGCAAAAACCAGTTTTTGCCACCCCTTGCCAACCCTGATAGGTAGGTATGTGATGTGTCCTGATCCAAGTAGAATTCACTCCAAAGTAGAATTCACTCCACTATGCATTGCTACACTGGTCGTGTTCATGATTAAAATAGTGGTTTGTACAGCGGGCAACTGGATCACCAGCTTTCATAAGAACATAATTTCATGTAGGAACACATTAATTTAGGACGCTTCGTTTGGTGACGTGCCATGACTAAAGGCGGCCGCACACTGGGCCATTCGGCGGGCGAGATTCCGCAAAAGCGAAATTCCGTAAAGGCGGCCGCACACTGGGCCATTCGGCGGGCGAGATTCCGCAAAAGCGGAATTCCGTAGGCGACATTACGTCTCCGCGGACGCCGAACCAACCGCCGAAACGAAAAATGTGGCTGTGAAGGGTCGACAGCCAGCTGTTCACAGACAGAGTGCGCATGCGCGCGGACAGCCGCGGAATCGCGGAAAAAGCTGAACCGGTTCAGCTTTTTCCGCGACTTCACCGCGGAAAGCCGATATTGTGGAACTTGATACTCACTAACTATTGATGGTGTGGCCGAGAAATAGACTTAATTTGATAAGAAAGCCGTAATGTTATTTCTTTCCTCGCAATAAATGGCTCTATGCACTAAATTGGCTATTCAAAAAGTAGGTTGCTATGTGCCTCTCCACAATTGTCTTTAGGTTTCTTGCATTTGTCGACAAACACGGTTGTTTACATTAATCACGAGCTTTATTTTTTGCAACTTCCTTCAGAAATTATGTCAAATTAATAGATATTCAAAACTTTATTGTACAGAAATATAGCATAATCGCATTATATAAGCAAATATTGTATTTGCTTAAATGTATTTAGTTTGCATTCGTTTATATTTATCATAAAATATTTCACATAAAGTTCCTGAAAATACTAAGTAGAAAATCGCACCGCCGAATGGTCCCGTAAACTGATGAAAACAAGCGGAAAGCCGCTGTAGGAATGTCGCCCGCGACATTCCGCTTTTGCGGAATATCGCCCGCCGAATGGCCCAGTGTGCGGCCGCCTTAAGCGACATTATGCCTCCGCGGACGCCGAACCAACCGCCGAAACGAAAAATGTGGCTGTGAAGGGTCGGCAGCCAGCTGTTCACGGACAGAGTGCGCATGCGTGCGGACAGCCGCGGAATCGCGGAAGAGGCTGAACCGGTTCAGCTTTTTCCGCGACTTCACCGCGGAAAGCCGATATTGTGGAACTTGATACTCACTAACTAATGATGGTGTGGCCGAGAAATAGACTTAATTTGATAAGAAAGCCGTAATGTTATTTCTTTCCTAGCAATAAATGGCTCTATGCACTAAACTGGCTATTCAAAAAGTAGGTTGCTATGTGCCTCTCCACAATTGTCTTTAGGTTTCTTGCATTTTTCGACAAACACGGTTGTTTACATTAATCACGAGCTTTATTATTTTGAAACTTCCTCCAGAAATTATGTCAAATTAATAGATATTCAAAACTTTTTTGTACAGAAATATAGCAAAATCGCATTAAATAAGCAAATATTGTATTTGCTCAAATGTATTCAGTTTGCATTCGTTTATATATATCATAAAATATTTCACATAAAGTTCCTGAAAATACTAAGCAGAAAATCGCACCGCCGAATGGTCCCGTAAACTGCTGAAAACAAGCGGAAAGCCGCTGTAGGAATGTCGCCCGCGACATTCCGCTTTTGCGGAATCTCGCCCGCCGAATGGCCCAGTGTGCGGCCGCCTTAAAGGGAGATAATGACCTTTTTCCACAAAATCTGAGTTAGGACCATTTTCTGACAAAACACAACAAGTTATAATGTAAATTAAAACCATTTTGCTCAATTCGGTACCTTGCCGCAAATATCTCAACTTGAAGTCACGTTAGCGGGGAGCGCTGAAAATGACCGTTGAATAAGTACTTACATCACTTTTTGGTACTTGCATGTAATTTTGTAAAATGAGCCTATTCCTTACATTTGATCTTCATCACATCTAGTTAGTTAATGGTCGTCTATAGTGCCTTCAAAAGATATTCATGGTTTAGGGGTGGTTTATGTCTAAATTTACGCAACTATTTTTCCTGTTCATCATCTGACGCCATATGCTGCTATTTTAGTAGCAACGACTCAATTTTGAATCGGTCCCGCCGACTGCACAATAAAAGAAGATAGATACAACACTTTTGCGGCATCACTGAAAAACTTATGCAGTACTGTTATCAAAATTCTCATAACACCGTTCGACAAACCTGAAGTCTTTTTGAAATAAATATGCTTGTATTTTTCGCTTCAGGCTCTGACGCCAAAAAAAATGAATTTCGCAGTCGCAATCGCAAGATTTGGCTGCGTTTCTGGCGCATGCCGTTCATTTGTGCCGCATGCCGCATGCCGAAACAAAGAAGAGTAGGCACTATGTACCCCCGAATTAGAATCTAATTGATTCTAAACCGAATTAACTCTAATTCAAATTAGAATCCTTACAACCAAGCAACGACAAGGCGATAACATAAACAAAAACCCAAGCGTCGCTGTTTGAAACAAAAGCGCCATATACTGCGACTTTTTTATAGAGAAGGACAACGCATTTCGGTGGGTGTTACAAGTACTGCAAGTACTGCTTCTTTTTTGCAAAAATAAAAACCTTTTTCACATACGAAAATGTGCTAGGAAATTTTCATATTTTATAGAAACTACAGTAGAAATAGTATAGATGTCGAGTAATTTTTATTTAAGAAAAAAGAAAGCTCATTATCTCCCTTTAACGCGACACAATTGCGTGCCTTCTTTCTTCAAGAGACAAGAGCTTTATATTGAAACTGTTTTACGAATCTTCATTTAGCAGCGACCGATCGATAATCGATTTGATACAAAATGAATATATTTATGTAACATACCATACAAAAATATGTTCTGATATCACAACAATGGCGAAGATTCCACTCAACATCGATACAAAGCGACATCTTTCCTACATCGATCACAACTCTAGTTGCCCGCAGCGAACAGAGATGGTGCTGCGTTGGGTGTCGCGTCCCCACAGTTTCATCACTCCAAACAAGGTCGGTATTAATAGGAGATTCTCTACCTGTTCAGTCAGCTGACGGTGCTGTGACGTCACTGCCTCCTGTGACGTCATCGCAGCAGCACGGCGCTCCTGTGAGGAGTCGGGAGCGTGTCAGCTAAGATTGAAACATTGGTCCCGAGTACCTACATGAGCTGAGTAAATGGACATCACAGACGGATTGCAATGCTTAAAGGAAATAGTTCACTTTTTAACATGGGTTTTGAACTGGAATAGCAGTTCCGTAGCTTGGGCTGAGACGAGCATAAATCAGGAGCTTTTACAGCCCAACGATCACCCTAGGCAAAGATATTCTATTTCTCGTCCCGAAAAAGGTGTCTTGCGTTGAGGATGTGTGCCTTGCATATATTTCCATCCAGTATGAAAAGAGCATGGGTCCCGAAAATTCTTCAGAAACTAGAGAAATTATCTACGAGAACTCTAGAGAAATTCTCGTACTGATCAATTAGGACATTCAGGGGAACATTATCAGATCGAGCAGATCGCCCAAATGCCGGTGGCTGCGATAATTTCTCTGTTTCTGAAGAATTTTCGGGACCCATGCTCTTTTCATACTGGATCGCGTGTGCCTTACAGAAACTGAAAAGTTCTTCCTACATCAAAATATAGAAAATAATATTTTGTTATAAAAAGGTTTTATTTTCTTTGCTGATTATTTTGAACATAAAAAATCATAAATCCGTTGCAAAAAAAAATTATTTCGTGAAAGTGAACTATTTCCTTTAACGAATATAAAAATTCGTTCGTAATACGGATTGACTGCTCATGTATTCTGGGTCAACGGAAATCTGGTCACAGTACGTCCCTTAGCTATGTTGCTAGAGCACTCTCCCGGGCCCAATCTCACCAAGTGCAGTAAACTCGTTTGGGGTTGCGGTAAGTTACCGCACCGAAATAACCCCAAGCAAATAATCCAATCTCACCAACCCAGACTACCCCATGCTGTAATTTACCGCATTTTGTGCAAATCCTGCAAAAGAACCCCATTTTTCGACGCTTCGGATTGGTAGAAAAGCTGCTAATCACGCCGGCGCTATATAAAGAACGCAATTGTTTTGTCGCCATGGCAACGATAGCGTGTTTCTTCTTTCCAAGCGGCACCTCAGTTTCCAAGACTCACGGGCGACATCTACATGCTGTTTTGGGTACTGCAAATAGGAAGCATAGGTGGCGCAGGCTGCAATAAAAATAATCTTAAAAAAGAAACTTATTTCTTTTCTTTCTTATAAAGTTCTTATTACATCTTTAATTACCTTACCTTACCTTACCTTAATTTGATCGGAATTTAGAGGCTACTATGCCTGTAGGGAACCGTTCTCATCGAGCTCGTAACATGTGGGACTTGTCTAACTCCTGTCAGGTATAGATACCTGATGTTTGCCCAATGGGCGTCCAGTCTTGATTTGAACTGTTCGACAGAGACAGCTCCGACGACCGACGAGGGCAAGCTATTCCAATCGTTGACAACCCTCACACTGAACGACTGCCTTCTTGGTCGGCTTTCAGCTCTGGGCTTCTGGACTTTGCGTGAGTGGCCTCGGGTACGATCGTCAGTGGCAGTCGAAAAGAAATCCTCCGGAGACAGGTCGACCCCTCCATTGAACAGCTGGTACATCTGGATCATATCTCCACGTCGTCGACGGTAGGACAGTGTAGGCAGTTTTAGGGTTTGCAGTCGTACTTCATAGGGGAGGTGTCTAATCGAGGCCACCAGGCGTGTTGCTCTCCTTTGGACCTTTTCAATAAGGAGTTGATCCGCGCGGTTGAACGGACCCCATGCCACATTTCCGAACTCCAAGTGTGGGCGTACCAGAGTCTTGTACAGCAGTGGGAGTGTGAACTCGTCGATAAGCTCGAATGAACGCCTAATGACTGCCAGGATCTGGTTGGCCTTCGCCGCAGCAGTGGCAGCTTGCTTGCGAAATTTAAGCGAAGAGTCAATGTGGACACCAAGATCGCGTTCTGTTTCCACCGCCTCTAGTTCGACCCCTCTCATGGTGTACTTGATTCGAGGATTGTTCCGTCCCAGATGCAGGATCTTGCACTTCCCCTCGTTAAATGGGAGCTGCCATCGGTCAGACCATTCCACCAGGGCATCAATATCGCCTTGAAGTGTCGTTACGGCCGTCGGGTCTCGCGCCTGCTGCATAGGCGATGGTCGGGCAGAGTGGTATCTGACATCTCTGACATGAGAGACAGCCACCTCTCCCTCTTCATCATCCTCAGGCAGGGCTCCAACCGTGTTCAGACGTCGCTCTTCAGGGGCGCGCTGGGTAAGTTGAGTGGAATGGTTCCTGCCAGCCCTTTGTTGGGCGACAGCCAGTTCCACAACCTCAGCGGCTGCAGAGCTCGAGTCACTGTCATAAAGCGTTGACACGTCCCGATAGAGCTTTGTATCATCGGCGAACATTTTCACAGAACAGTCTACCACAGAGGGGATATCGTCGACAAACAACAGAAACAAGAGGGGTCCCAGGACCGAGCCTTGAGGAACTCCGCTTCTGACAGCCAATGAGTCTGAAAGGCTTCCGTTTACAACGACTTTTTGATTGCGTCCGGAAAGAAATGCCTCAATCCACTTGAGAAGTTTGCCGGATATCCCAGGGCCAGAACACCTCAACTTTTTGAGAAGTCGGTTGTGTGGGACAGAGTCGAATGCTTTTCGGAAATCTAAGTATGCCACGTCGACGGGATCACCCCGCTCGAGCATCTTGGTCCAGTCGTCCAGAACCTCCATGAGTTGAGAGCTGCAGGATCTACGGGGACGGAACCCGTGCTGGTGCTTGGACAGCTGGCCAGTGGAGGCGAGGAACTCCACGAGGGCGTCACGCACCAGAGACTCCATGATCTTGCATGGGATGGACGTCAAACTGATTGGTCGGTAGTTTTCTGGGGCACTCCTGCTACCCTTCTTGTGGATCGGAACCACTGCCGGAGATTTCCATATTGAAGGGACATTTCCTTGTTCCAGAGATTCAGCGAACAGTGATGACAGTGGGCCAGCCAGAGCCGCAGCACCAAGTTGTAGCAGCTTCGGGTGCAAGCCATCCGGGCCAGGGGCGGCATCTGTCTTCAGGTGAGCAAGTTTTAGCCGAACCGCTTCAGTTGTAATGGGAACAGTCTCGATTGGCTCGCCTGTGAATTGGTTGGTTGGCTCCGGAATGTGAGATCTGTCCTCGTCTGTAAAAACACTGCTGAAGAACGAGTTGAGTAATTGGGCCTTATCTCTGTCATCGCACACGATGCTCCCGGAGCCATCTACGAGATTGTCCAGTCCAGCCTTAGTCTTGAGTCTTGAATTTGAATAGCGCCAGAATACCTTTGGGTTGGTTTTGACGTTTTTGACCAGTTCCTCCTCGAAGTCCCTCCTCAGCTTCCTAGTCAAGGCCCGCAACTGGTTTCTACAGCGGGTAAATCTGCTGTAGTCTAGGATATCCTGGGTTTGAGAGTATACCGTCCAGAGTCTTTCTTTCTCCTTTTTGAGTCGTAGGGCTCGGCCATTGATGTAGATGTTCTTGCGGTTAGACTTCCTCTTGCTGGTCGGGAAGCATTCTTGTGCACTTGTTTTGATACAATCCGTGATAAACTGGTACTTTTCGTCGATCGTGAGGTTTGCCATTGGGTCCCAGTCAGTGTCGTGGAGCTTCTCAATGAACTCTGCTGCATTCCCCTTGAAATAGTTTGCGTGGGCTGCGGGAGCGATTTGCTGGGTAAGTGTAACAACACAGATCGAATCTCAGAATGACATGGTCACTTCTGCCAAGTCCAGCTTCGTGATGGATGTTTTGCACCATCCCATCCGCATTTGTCACAATGAGATCTAATAGGTGGGGAGTCTCACCTGGGCGGAAACGAGTTGGTTGGGTGACCTGCTGATTGAGAAAACAGTCATCCAGTGCCTCCAGGAACCTGTGTGAGATATCCAGGGGTGGAGCCGGGGAGAAGTTATTTTCCCAGTCAATTTGAGGCATATTGAAGTCTCCCGCAATTAGTAGATGTGAGTGACCTGATGAGCAGGCAGCATGTAGAAGATGACACAGTTCATCAGAAACATCTCTTGTATTTTGGGAGGGACTTCGGTAGATGCATCCAATAAGAAGCTTGTCATCGTTTGTCAAAGGTAGATACAACCATAGTTGTTCGATGTAAGTCGTTGAGCTGACAGTTATCTCTGAAGCTTGGAGGCAGGTCTTTACATATATGCCTACTCCTCGGCGACCACTGGATCCCAATTCAGGTTGAGAGGGATCGAAGTTTGTGTACAGAGTGTAGCCAGGAATGGAGATTACAGCCTTACTGATGGGAACTGATTGTGCTTTTGGAATTACCTCTGTGACTAGAATAAGATCCGGTTCATTGCCAGTTATTTTCATACAGAGCTCGTCTCTTTTGATTGTTGATTCTTGCTCACAATTAGTATAAAATTTAGAGATTACGGCACAAATGTCTGCAGTAATTTTTGTCCGACATTTGGGGGCAATCAGCTGATTGTTTGGTTTGTTTACTTGCTTTCGGGCCGTGAGCAGCTGCGCACATGAAGAATTTGCAGTAAAACCGAAGCTATCCCATGGGGTTATTTCGATGCGGTAACATAAAAAGTTACGGCAGTGGTGAGATTCGTTTTGGGGTAGGTTACCGCAAAATGAGTTTACCGCACTTGGTGAGATTGGGCCCCGGTGACCAAGAGCTCTAGCGCTCGATGCATTGGACTCCTGACGGGGATGACCAGCATGGGTGGAGCTTTCCAGGGACGTTGGTGGAGCAAAAAGTCGTTAAACCTACATCGTCCAATTTTTAAGTTAGATAAAATGCAACACTGAATCGATTCTTTTCATTCAAAGATGATATTTTGCACTGCATAGACATTTCAAAGCCCCTCAATGCGAAAAAGATGGCCCCACCAACTGAATAGGAAGCTCCGCCCCTGGTGGCAAGTGGTTGGCCGGAGCAGCTCAGCCTATTAGCCCTCGCCGGCACAGGGGGGGGGGGGGTTGATGCAACCCCCTCCCCCTAAGGTTTTTCGCGTATAACTCGCGTAAAAATCGGCCGATCGCGACGAAACTTTCAGTACCCTCGCATCGATCAATTTTACACCTACCCTGAAAATTTCATGACCCTGACCCAAATGAACTTTGACCTGTGACCTCTTTTCCGAGACCATGTTTGGCCGGAATCGCGATTCGGCGTATGTTGGCTCGCATTAGCCGCGCGTTTGCAAGCTTTTCGTGGTTTCAAACGTTCAAACATGTGATTTGATGTTGCTCCCATACATAAGGGTGGGTGTCAAGGTCACCTGAAGGTCAGGTCAGGTCAGGTCATTGACCTTTGGTGACCTCGGGTGACCTCGGTTCACTTTTTCGAGTTTTTCATGTTTCTAGGCTAGTTTTTGGAGCTGAATTCGAATTTAGCAACCAGTTGAACATTTACGAAGTAGTTTTGGTGCCTTCGTAACATGTTACGAAGCTGTCAGAGGCGGTTGACACGTATTACGAATACCCGTCACAACCCCTACCGGTTGACCTGACCTGACCTGACCCGACCTGGTCTAAATGCTTAAAAACATCATCTCTGATCAAAACTAACACGATATTCGTGATCAGCACCCCGGAAAACCAGCCACACTTTACGACTTTCGTTCCCGATTTTCCCGGTTTTCGGGTCATTGACCTGACCTGGAAGGTCACCCGATGACCTAGGACCTTAAAATTGGGTATCATCGGCTTCATCTCGTGACGGGCAACACGCTCGTTTTTTCCGCGAAGCTCTAGCTCGATCAAGGGCCAAACGCGAGGGGGGTTCGTACCACCAACACCCCCCCCCCCCTTGTGCCGTCGGAGGACGCGAAATGGCCTGTACCGGCGAGGGTTAGTAAGTCAGCAGGCAGGACGGACCAGGTGAGTTGGATACACCATATTGTCCAGTGTCCGACTACATGGCACATTTAACTTTTACTCCTGAGTTCCCCACACAAGCCTGAGTAAGTTCACCGTTCAATTAAACTGCATAATCCATATAAAAAGCCCTGCCGGCATGGTACTCTTATTACCGGTACCACCATCCATCTGAAAATCCTCCCACCATCCACATGAAATTCCATCCCTGTCGCCATTTATCTAAAACGCCTCCATCACCCACTTAAACCTGTACTCCACGGGTGGAACTTTGTGCGGAGCTGGGAGGGCCCGGGCGCAGCAAATCCGCCGCCGCCCTGGCGATGACCTTGACCTCCGCCGTCTGGTGCGGCTCTAAAGCCAAGCCGTCGTCAAATTTGGAGAGCTCAAGCCCTCCCAGCTCGGCACAACGTTCCACCTATGCTGTACTCCCATACATAAAACCCCTCCCAACACCCTCCCAACACCCTCCCAACACCCTCCCAACACCCTCCGAAACCCCCTCCGAAACCCCCTCCGAAACCCTCTCCGACCACTCACCTCCATTTCTGCCAGTTGCTGCTTCAGCTCCTCCTGTTTCTTCCGCAGTTCCTCGCTAAACTCCTTCAAAAAGCCGACCTCTCTTTCTCTCAGACATATAGCCTGCAGAGTTGACTCCATGGAGAGAGTCACGTCGGAGCAGTACTCCTTTGACTCGCGGAGTAGACGGAGTCGCGACTCGCGCAGAGAGGCCGCGCGGGCCTCCTGGGCCAGTGCACGCTCCTCCATTTTCTGTCGGGGGGGGGGGGGGAGAGGGGAAGTGTCAATTGTGGGAGGAAGACGTGGGACGGGAGAGACACAGTATCTAACGAAACGGGTGCTTAGCTACTCGCCATTTCGACAAAGAAATAGGACGCTATCAGACTGGCCACTCGTCACTTCACATTTTGAAGGCAGCTTAATTTTCACCGATAGTTAAGGCAATCGGTAGCCATTTGAATTATATCGAACACCCAGAGGGGCCGCGATGTAGTTACAATAAATATTGAGAAAAAAGTTTTATTCTCGTTTAGCAGCATAGAAAATGATGTCGCCTAATACGTGCGTAAGTACCCAAGAACACAAATGAAAACGACCTATTTATCACATCGACGAGTTTTTAAATCGTATCATTATTAGCAAACTAAACACAACAACTCGTTTACAAAACTAGCAGACAACCCCAACCCACCTCCTCCAATATGTACCCTTCTTTACCCCTACCCTCTTTCCCTCTCCTCTCTATACCAAACCAATCTCGCTCACTAAATTCCCTCACTATCCTCCAAATACACTCACTAAATCCCCATTCTTACCCTGATATGACCCCTGCTTGTCAGATGTTGCTGCTTGTTGTGCGAACTGCTGAAGTACAGTCCACAGAGGCTGCAGAACAGGTCAGCAGGATCGTCATCAAAATGAGCCTCTTCATCTTCCTCTTCCTCTTCTTCTTGACTGTCACCCGCACCCGACATCAACCTTCCCATCGCTGGCTCTACTGCTACAACAGCCATAGAACTTATACTCTCACCCACACCAATATTGGCGCTTATAGAGCCACATAGTGGTTCCGGTTGAGTCATAGTGGAGTCCCCGTCTAATGCGTTCATTGAAGGGAGGGTTGGTTGGTTTCCTACCACTGCTGCTGTCACCACTGAAGGTGGAAGGTCTGTCTCTACCGCTACTGCCGCCGCTGTTGCTGCTGCTGTTGACGTTGCCATTGCTGCTGTTGATGATGATGATGATCCTGTCGCTCCTCCCGACGATGAGGATGATGACGTCAACAGCACTGGCGTCACATCCTCTCCCTCATCCACCGCCACATCACCGGGCTTCCTCTGTTTTCTCCAGATCCTCGCCCTTCTCCTATACTCCGCTAACTCTACACGATACTTCCCCTTTTGTCTCTCAGCTTCTTCAACATACGGTCGCCTCTCCTCAACACCAAGACTAGCCCACAGTTTGGATAGTTTTGGTATCGCTCGGCGAGTGTTCAACCCTCGCCAGCGTAGCTTCAACTCCGCATATTGCTCCTTGAAGAAGAGACAGTAGGCGTTTAGAGGAGCTGTGGGTGGTCGACCATACGGTGGGGGTACTTTACGGGTTCGCCGGGCCGGGCGTTGTGAGGAGGTAGGTTGGGGTTGTGGTAGCCGCTGTATGGGAAGATACGACGGAAGAGATGCTGGTTGGGACGCTGGTTGTGATGATGGGGGAGGGGGTGAGGGAGAGGGGGGCGGTGAGGGTGGCTGTCTCTTCACTACCACCACGGTCTTCCCACGTGCGATGGGCGCGGGGGGAGGCGGCGGGGGCTGGGAGGCGGCCAGCAGAGCCTCCTGAATCTGTGGAAGGAGAGACAGAAATCAAAACCTGACGGAAACAGCGAGACGGGGACGACGATTTCTAAAAGATGATTTTGCCTGCATAATTTAATGATTGTTCAATGTACACGGAAGCTTTGATTTTTGAACGTTATGTTTGTACCATAATCTGATACGATCGGAAAGCGAGACGACAGTGATATTCGCGAAACGATCATTTACATGCAATTACAGCACTATGTACGTATGTAAGGTATTAGGTACGTAGAGACAAAAGTATGTTTTAGCATAGGTTAGACTGGGTTAGGTTGGTTAGGCTTGGTTGGGTTCGGTAGTTTATGTTAGTTTGGTCTTTTTAGTGATCATTCTTTTTTGTCCTAACCTGCTTTACCTTATCAACTATGTTCTTTTACGACACATACTTTTGTCTGCAAATATGTCCACCATATACCTTAATAGAGGGATATTCCTTCAAACATACCATACCAAACCAAACAGCAACCACCTACCTCAGCATGCTCGCCCAGAAGTGCCGATAGTGACACGTCGGCAGCATCGTTGGCTACATCAGCCTCGTCCTGGCCGACGGGATCTTCCAGGGAGGCATTGTCATCACGATGCACCGCCAGGTGACTGCCAGATACATCTGTAAGGGAGTCCAGTTGTAGGAACTTTTATGGTGTGTGCTGGCTGCTTAGATAAAGATAGAGAAGCATAAGGAAATGTGTTTAAGTAATGATGCGGGTCAGAGACACAATGGTTTGAATGCTTTGTTGGTAGCCATAGCTGCAGCCACAAAAAGGTGGCCTTAGCTCTAAAATGCTATCAGAAAGAGAAACAAATGGCCATACAACTCCTATTATAAACACTTGTGAGGTGGGAACAACTTTAACACAAACAGCAGGACAGCATGTTGGTAAAGCATGTCAGAATCAGAACCACCTCTGTAATTTGGTCTCAAATGAAGTTGTTTTATCCCAGCTCCACCCCCACCTACCTGAAGGTTCACAGAGTCCCTCTCCGCCATGTGATGCCTCCACGGCCGCCGATGAGGCAGCCAACTGACTGAAGAAGCTTGAGATGTCAAAGTCGGAGGCGTCGCCGCTTGGATCCAGCAGGTCGGCGCTCGCCCAGACTGCCGCCTTCATCTCTCCCTCAGAGCAGTCAAGCAGACCCGACTGAGACGATGTGTCCAGGAAGGACATGGTGACACCTGTGGAGACATTAACATTGTTGATAAAAGTTTAGAGATATTGTAATCTGGTTAACGTATTCATGAAGAACGGTATTCACATCTTGAGCATTGCCTCCAGATGTCTTTAATGTCAATTTCCGAGTCATGGAAACCATGGGATATAAACAACTTGAATGATTTCAGAACTATAACTCAAACTATGATCTAATAGTTTCCGACAATTGCAAACTTCAATGACTATCGATAACAAACAAACCAACAATTACCTACTCTAGTCGGCAAGGCCTAGTAATATTTACCGTGAAAAATACTACTGTGATTTTAGGACCAGCTTCCGGTCACGGTATGCGACTTCAAATCCCAAGCGAAGGTGTAAAATGATCCGAAAATCACAACTAACCAATGCCCAACTAACACCAAATTTGAGTGTATTTTCGTCCCTCTGCATATGGAAGCTATGGACTTTAAAGGATTTCTTTGAAAGGACAGGAATTTTCGCTCTTTTGATTCAAAATTTAAATCCATGTCAATTTTCTGCTTAAATTTTTGTTTATTCATGCATAAAACACCATTTAAATAATAAGCGCGATCACTCTTTTCAAACTTACTAAAAGCTCATTAGATTACCGATCACTTGCATCGTGAAGTGCGAAAAAGAAAAAAAGAAAAAAAAACTCTGAAATATGGTAGCAAAAAATATTACGGTGTAAACGGCGCAGTTACTGCGTTTGTGGTCTTCGAGTTATTTTTCTGTGTTTTAGAGCTCGTGTGGAAATCGTTCGAGTGCATAGTCAATTAATAGTTTCAATAAAATTTAAAGCAAGTTGACTACCGCCCTTTGAAGGAAAACATGTTTCACTTGAGACCGAATAATTTGATGCGGCTGTCCTCATCGCTAGCTAATGTTCTGCGTGCTAGAAAGACGGTGGTTCCATCAGCTAATTACAATATTCGGCTTTTTTCCTTGTATCCGGTCGATGATGCCTTATTCGGCCTTACCGAGGATCAGCAGCAGGTGATTTTAACTTTTTTTATTACAGTCTAAGCACTTTCTTCATGGAAAGAGTGGGAACTTCTCTTGAATGAAAATCTAGCCATGTTCGGATAGCACTGCGTGCAAGTGCAGGCTGCACTTGATTGATATGTCAATGTAGGTACCTAGGTACCTTAGTAGATACCTTTCCTTCAGGATTTTAGCAGTATAAGTACCTAACGTTCTATTAGGAATAAGATCAATTAATAATTCATCATAGTTTTAAATTTGGTTAAGCTTTTTGTGTGTAGGTAGGTACCACAGATTTGAGTTACCTACCAAAGTTACCACACCTCTACTTTTTTACAGATGCGAGAGACTGTGAGGGGCTTTGTTCAAAAGGAGTTGGCTCCATTTGCTGATGAGATCGACAAGAAGGATGACTGGGATAAGAGGAAGGTGAGTTCTTTTAATAAGACAATAAGCAAGCTGGTTGTGGTAAAGTTCATATGACAGTCTTTCACTTACAATTTTTTATTTGGCATTATCCTTGCAAGTTGCAATAGGTATACTAGGGATAAAATAAATGGATTTGTTAGAGGCAGGGCTGCGGAGTCGGAGTCGGAGTCGGTCGGAGTCGACAGTTGTGACCGGAGTCGGAGTCGGAGTCGATATTGGAAACCCCAGCCGGAGTCGGAGTCGGAGTCACCGAAAATCTGTCGACTCCGCAGCCCTGCCAGGTGTGCGGAGTCGGAGTCGGGAGTTGGTGTCGATCGGAGTCGACATTTCTGCCCGGAGTCGGAGTCGGAGTCGGTTTTTGAAAGCCGGAGTCGGAGTCGGAGTCGGAGTCGCCGTAAATCCATCGACTCCGCAGCCCTGGTTAGAGGTACAGGGTAATTAGGCATGTGCAAAAAAATAAATTGTGGGAAGAATGATCAATGAAGAAGAAGCGGATAAATGCAGCCTGCTGCCTGGAAGAGTCCTGACTCCTGAGTCACCTGTAATCTAGGAAATGTATGTGATATGCCATAAGCAAATAGGTAGAAGGACATATTCTTACTTAAGCTACTTAAGCTATATTACGGTACTATATATCACAAATAAACTTTGAAATGATCATGATTGATGACAGAATGGTACTGGATGACAATAACCGGAAACGAACTAACCCGATGTCAACAATGATCAGTTGTTTCGTCATCAGCGACGAACGGAAAGTAGTAATCGATATCACTTTTTTAACATCACGGATGTCAAGAATGGCTGCGAATGAACGAATATAGGTACCTACTGTTACGCAAGAACCAGGACTTTTTTGCGTGTTACGCAATAGGTAACCATTCGTCTGAAAACTGGATCGAACGGGAAACATTTCCACAAGCTGCAACCCGCAAACTATTATGCAGGCACTCGATGAATGACCACCAGCCTTGTTGGAGTCGACGTTGAGCACAAATTCCAAAATAAATTGAGTTAGAACTTAGAAGATCGAATAACAGGCGTAATTACTAATTACGCAATGTCCCGAAATAAAACGCAGGCTCATACGCTGTAAGGTGCTGCCATCTACGTATTCGGAAAGCTAGGCTACCAAAGTGTAGATGTCGCCACCAGTCGCAACTCGAGTCGTCTAGCATTGATCCCCAAACCCTCTACACATTCCACTCGATTTCTGTCGTAATATCGCCACTGTTGCTCCTTCCTCTACTCTCCTCAGAAGTTCTGGTGCGTTCCGTTTGCCGAAATCTCGCGCATCTCCGTCCTCCACTAGCTGCAGTAGTTTTGGCACCTACCACGAGTTCTAACACCTAGTGTGTACCTGAGCGACTTTTCCTGTTCACACTTCCCTTGAGTATTGTTGCCGTTGGCAATATGCTACTCGCCCTGTCTCGCTCTTCCTCTCTAGACGCTGGAGTTCTGGTGTCAGCTGCTAGGTGCCTTAGGTCTTCTGAGATCTCACCCACCCACTCCCCTACCATATTATGAATTATAGCACCATTCTCCACAGCACTATTCTCAGCTACCCTGATGGAACACTGATAAAACGTGTGCTGAAACACTGTGTGCTGGAACACTGTCTGATTGAACAGTGAACACTGTCTGATTGAACACTGTCTGATTGAACCCCCCCCCCCCGCTCACAGGATTTTTGGCGTCAGCTGGGCTCCATGGGTCTGCTGGGGATCACCGCGGACCCGAAGTTCTCCCAGAACACTCTCTGAACACCCCCTCCCTCCCACAGGATTTTTGGCGTCAGCTGGGCTCCATGGGCCTGCTGGGTATCACCGCTGATCCGGAGTTCGGCGGCTCAGGTCTGGGGCTCATGGAGCACTGTCTGGTGGTGGAGGAAATGTCCCGAGCGGCAGGAGGAGTGGCGCTCAGCTATGGAGCTCATAGTAATCTCTGTGTGAATCAGATTAACCGACATGGTACAAAGGAACAGAAGGAGCGGTTCTTGCCCAAGGTGAGTGGCCGATGGACTTTGTGAGGGCGATTAGTGTTGTTTTTGCGTCATTGAAAGTCAAATATTTACGTCTGACACTCTTGTCTTCAACTGTTGCTCGTGAAGTTCATGTTCTTTGGATACCTACCTATGGGCCATACATCTTACCATATTCATCGCTTTTATGGTAACGGTTCCGTGCGTTTTGCAAGCATGGGTCTTTTCATGTTTTTTTTCTGGTTTTAATGCAATTATCCAATAAGTTTAAACTTTTCTAGGGCTTATTGCGAGCTTCTTTTTTCAAGGCCTTCATTCATCGTCGCCTATTGCTTTCATATTCCTACCACTGAACTCTAATATATACTGAGCGTTTCTATAAACTTTCCTACTGAGCATCATATAAACTGCAGCCGGTGTTCTTTCCTCCATCTCCTATCTCTAACCCTCCCCCTCCCCTTTTCAGCTCTGCTCCGGCGAGTTTTACGGCGCGCTGGCCATGTCCGAAGCGGGCAGCGGCTCTGATGTCGTCTCAATGAAAACCCGAGCTACTCGCACCGAGGGCGGTTACATCCTCAACGGCACCAAGTTCTGGATTACAAATGGCCCCGTGGCGGATGTTCTAGTGGTGTACGCCAAGAGTGATTTGGAGTGTAAGCCACAGCACGGAATTACGGCGTTTTTGGTTGAGAAGGGAATGAAGGGGTTCTCGACGTCGCCCAAGTTGGATAAGCTGGGCATGAGAGGATCGCCGACCTGTGAACTGGTGTTTGAAGACTGCTTCGTGCCGGGTGAGTGGTGATTTATAATATCTCATATTTATGACGTTTTAAAAGATAATGTAGTTCATTCAGTATCATTTCAGATATCGTAGCAGTAGGCTCGCACGTATTGATTATCGCACGCCTAGTCGCGCGGACGGGCCAGTGTCACAACGCGCTCACTACATAGCGAAACATATGAGCCAAAAGTACGGCTTTGGTGCTCGATGCAATACGACATTTTCCCCTCACAGTGATAACGCTAATCCGCCGCAATATGACACGTTTGAGATGCCGGTACGTGCTTACTCGTATATTTGTTTCAGACTCAAACATTCTCGGCCCAGTTTGGAAGGTGTGTGTGTGTGTGTGTGTATGTGCTTATGACACCATGTATAATGGATATGTCGTTAGCTGAAGAGACTGTACTGACTACTGACCGTAGGCAATATTCCCAGCTTACGCGATGTGTCTATTCCACAGACTCTAGCATTCTGGGGCCGGTTGGAAAGGGAGTGTATGTGGTGATGACTGACCCAGATGATATGTTATTAGCCTGGAGAGACTTTCCTGCCTACAATATTCCGGCTTACACGATCCGGCTTGTATTCCCGGCAATATTCCGGCTTGCTTCTGTTTCACAGACGCTGACATACTAGGCCCGGTTGGAAAGGGCGTGAATGTGCTTATGACAGCCTGCATAATGGATATTGGGTATGTCGTTAGCTGTAGAGGCTTAAGTGCCTACAATACTTTCAGCTTACACGGTGCTTCTATTTCACAGACTCTAACATCCTCGGCCCAGTTGGTAAGGGAGTCTACGTCCTGATGACTGGCCTGGACTTGGAGAGACTGGTGCTGGCTGCTGGACCGGTCGGGTGAGTTGAGAACCACTGAGTGAGGGAGATTTGAGAGACACTGAATGGAGCGGGGTTGAAAACCACTGAATGAGGAGGGTTATGACTATGAGACACTGAATGGGATAGAATTGAAGGACCCAGAACGGGAAGAGTTGAGAAATCCTGATGCTGGGCATTTGGGAGCCATGAACTACACACTAGAAGGAATTTTAAAAATGATAGAAAATTGTATTAGCCTTTAGCTGCTCCGTTTCAATGCAAAGTACGGTTTTGATTCCTTTCTTTTGCCCTAATCCTGACGTCATATTCGTCATATTCTCTTATTTGCGACATCAACTGCTAGTTGTCAGCTATCTGTAAAATGCAGGTGGCTGCTTACGTCATATTGGCATCATTCTGACTCCAGCCTCATGTTTTGCAGTATAATGCAGGCGGCGTGTGACGTCACATTCGACTACTGTCACCAGAGACAGCAGTTTAACCAGCCCATCGGTCACTTCCAGCTGATGCAGGTATGTTTTTTGAAACTGAAAAAATTGAAAAGTGTTTTATTCGTGATTGATCAAGCGTTTCGTGGTGGTAGTTTGTATGTATTGTCATTCACCTTCGCGCCAAAGAGACGAATTCAAAGAGATTTTTGTAATCGAATATTCAAATAGTGGAAGGTCACCGACTGCGTTTATGACGTGGTAACGGTGTTGGTCCATAGAATGGTACCCTGAGGTAAAATTATCAGCCAGTATAATTTAGAAATTGGAGTCGTCATTCAACCGATGACTTCGATCCCAGCACCAGTAGCGGCGGAACACCTTCAATTAGGGGGGGGGGAGGCACTGCCGACTTTTGGTCCCATTCTTTCCATGCAACGCCCATAGGGCTAATGTTAACCTTCGCCCCAGTGGGGGGGGGGGGGAGGGGCATAAGTTACCACCCTGTCGCGTTTTTTTGCGTGTAAATAAAAAACCGCGGCGCGTAGCGCTGCGCCGCTTGGGGTAGATTTTTGTACATCAATTTTGGACAATGTGTGAAATTTTTGACCCCAGGTCATGTCAGGTCAGGTCACCAGGTCAAGTTAACTGACCAAGCCTAAAAAAGTTTGCAATATATCCAGCCTGCAGTGTTTGTCAGTGAGGTTTCAAGCTTGGTGGATTGCATCATGTTATGGGCGCCTACAATTTGTTTATCTCGGATTTTTTATATCCGTGACCTAAGGTCAGGTCAGTGACGTGATCTTTCCATTATCAATGGAGAAAAATATCAATGGAGAAAAAAACCTTTCCAAGTCAATGGAGAAAAATGAAAATGCCTCTAGATCCGTGTGTACGCATAGGAACAGTCCAAATATTTCAGAATCACAATGATTTGGACCACCCGTGACGACCAAGGTGTCTTTTTTGCTGATAGCCTCTAGAAAGGTCATCCGAGGTCATTTGAGGCTACAAACAGATTTTTGCCAATAACTTTCGATTGGAAAGAGATAGAACGCTGGGGATGGTCTCATTGTGTTTGTCTTGCCGAGACGCATCGACTGATATGCAACATGACCTTTATCCGGTCAGGTCATGACCTTGACCTGAGGTCAAATTTTCAAGTTGACCTTTCAAGGTCAAATTATAATTCATTCGATGCGTCTCGGCGAGAGGAACACGATTCTGTCAATAGAAATGTCGTGGCTTTTTTAGTCAAAAGTTATTGTCGAAAAACACTTTTCGTAAAAACAGCTATTTTGGAGTTTTTGCCCTCTGGAGGCTAAACCGTTGACCTGAGGTCAATTTTGATAAGGACCTTATCGAAAGAAGAGTTCAAGAGCTATCGATTGCTTTTCCACGCATTTTTCTAGCTATCATAGTTCCTGAGATAAATGCATGTTTTCTGAAAAATATAATGACGTTTGGCAAATTTTGCCCTTTGATGACCTCCAGTGCATAGGTGTAGCAACGTATCTCTTTGGTGAAGGATACCTTTCACCAAAGTTTTAGATTGGTGAAGGATCCTTCACCAATCTTGAGCAATGCAGGTGAGGGTCTTCACCAATGCTAGAACGACTGGGTTCAACAAAAAGGCTATTGCTAAAACGGCAACAGGTACCCAATTACCCCATCTTATCAGTTATGAAGTGTTATGCCCACCTTCTTCACAATTCACGCCATTTAATAAACCAGTATAACGCCTTTTGGGGCGACTAACGGAGCGAGCGAGAGGGTGAGCTTTGCACGTGCGAAATTTCGACGGGGTACCTCCAGCTGACTTGTGCACGGCACCCTACTAACCGGTCTCTAGCGATGTGCCAAATTTGAGCACAATCGGCCCAGTCGTTCAGCGTTCTCGAGATCTGGAAGCGGCACCCTGCACGTGCGCACGTGCAAAATGGGTCCCAACTGACTTTTGCACGGCACCCTACTAACCGGTCCCTAACTGTTTACCAAATTTGAGCGCCATCGGTCCAGCCATTGTCGAGATCTGGAATCGACCCCTGCACGTGCGCACGTGCAGCAGCACCCCAACTCTGGCACATGGATATGCATTGCCTAGTGGGTGCCTACCTACATGCCAACTTTCAGCGCAATCGGCCAAGTAGTTACCGAGATATTGCAACAATTACAAAAGTGACACCTCTTCGTTTTGCACGTGGCACGTGCATAAGGGGTCACCCACATGCATCGGGAATAGTCCAATACTTGGTAGAAGGAATGAAGCTACCGTACAAAAATTACCGCGTGTAAATCGGTCAAGTGGTTGCTGAGATATAAGCGTCGCAGAACCGTGACCGCGGCCGGCCGGCCGACCGGTCGGCCGGCCGCTCATACTCAGAAATTTCCGTCAAAGGGACCCTCCCACCTTCAAAAAAGTTAATGAATTGGCATGAAAGTGATGTCGCTCGGTTCAGAAAGAGCAAAAACGAATACCTACCAAATTTCATCGAAAAATATTCACCGGTTTTCAAGATATTAGACTTTTACTTTTGTTTACTTTTTGGGATCTCCGCTGTTCCTAGCGACTTTATTTGAAAGTGCGGCATTTGTTGCGCGCAAAGCAGCATATACCACCGCGTGCTACAAAACGTTTTAGTCAAACATTTAACGGACGTTCGAAAGCCTGATGACGTCATCAGATTCCCGTAATGGTTAACCCGCGACCGCCTGGGGGGGGTCGGATCCGACCCCCCCCTCCGTTTTTCTTGAATAACTCATGAACCGCTTGCGCTATCAACTTGAAACTTCGCATACCTTCTCCCCCATCAATTTGACGTCTCCTGTGCAATTTTCAAGAAAAAATTTTCAAATTTTTTTGAAATATATCGATTTTAGTGATGTAACTACATGGCGTTTTCAGTCAAAAAATGGTAAATGTTTAAAAAATCGCCAAAAATCGAGGTTTTAAGCAAATTGCAAATTAAGAACATGAAAAGACGCAGCTCAACGAGTTCTTTAAAATGGCTATCTCGGATTTTCCATAAAATGCGTTTTTTACCCCTAAAAATTCAAAAAACTATATTTTTTGGAAAACAGCTAATAAAATCCAAAATTTTGCGAATTTCCAAAAAACCGGAATATATGTTATAGAGCTCTATTAGAACATTAGATGTCCCAAATTTCAACTTTCTATCTTGATTTTTGACCCCCAAATTGTAAAAAATAGCTCCAACATGCATAGGGCATGGTGACGTCATAAGCATTTTCGCGAATTAGAGGCACTTCTGAACATTGCATGTGAAAACAAATGGCACCACTAGATTCCTGGGACAAAGCTCGTCTAGAAAAGTGCGTTTTTATGTCAAAAATAAAAAGTTGAAAAATTGACTTTTTTCTTAGCCCTCGTTTAGTTATGTATGGTATAAACGATTTTTTATGCTTTCAATGCACACTTATCACCAGCACAGTGACTTGGGGTCACATATAACCATTACCATCGGATTTGGCGTGAAAAATAAGCCATAAAACATGTGTCGCACGCCCATGTAGCAGAAAGTGAAAACCGTGACCTTTCGTGACCTGACCTGACCTTGACCCGTACTTAGTATGACCCCTATACGCTCATGGTACCTTCACTAGGTCTTTGAGGTCATTTGTGGTGAGTTTCGAGCAGCAGCTATCGATTCCGCTGTCCGTAAGCCTAATCATGCAAAACCCCTGAATTTGACCTTTGACCTGACCTTGACCCGAAAGTTGACCTCAATCTTAAAATCTTAAGAGTGCTTTGGGAAGGCCTCGAAGAGACCTTTCGAACGCCGCCTCGCGGGGCTCGATACGACCATTGGTTCTCGAGATAACAGGGGGGGTCGGATCCGACCCCCCCCCCCCCAGGCTGATGTGGGTACGGAAATAGCCCAGGCGGTGCCGGGTTAAGAGATAGGGACCACGCTGGTCCCACCCTGCAAGTAAAGGGAAGAAATTTCTTGAACACCTTAAAGCTGCGGGGGTTGCGACCAGGATAAATGGTGGTTTCTGAGCCTGGCCGCAAACTTGGCTATCTCAACTCAAAACTAATGTTAAGGTGGGAGGGTCCCTTTAATCTCAGTAAATGCCGTGAATATCAAAATATATTGGCTTGTGCTTGTTTTTACTCGTGGGAAAGTTGTAAGACTTTGGTCACGAAAAAAGAGCAGTGGAGCATACCTTTAGGTTCCAAAGGTATGCTTGGATAGTGGATACCTTTGGTAGGTATCCAAAGGTATGCTTGGATAGTGGATACCTTTGGTAGGTATCCAAAGGTATGCTTGGATACCTAAAAATTCAATTTTAGGCATGTACTGAAAAGTTGGCGTTAATTAGATGATAATGGCGTGAGACATTTGCGAGAAAAAAAAAAACAGGAGTTGACGAAATTCCGCCCCCCCCCCACCCTCCCCCCTCCACTGCGGTAAGGTCCTGCACCTTCTCCGAAGGTTCAGGTGACTTCTCCGAGGGTTCAGGTGACATCCTTCACCAATATTTTTGGCGCTCCTACACCCATGCTCCAGTGACCCCAATATTGCTCTAAGATGAAAAATGACTGAAATACTTTCAAACGTACGCATTGAGAGCTATCGATTGCTTTTTACCGCGTCTTTCTAACCCTCTTAGTTTTTGAGTTAGAGGTGGGTGGTAACATATGCCCCCCCCCCCCCCCACTAGGGCGAAGTTGGCTGAGACCGCCACTGGGGCGCGGGTTAAAATATCAAAATCAAAGGGGGCACGGTGCCCCGGTGCCCTCCCCGTTCCGCCGCCTATGCCCAGCACATTTCCTCCCGACACCCTGCTTTTTCGTGGCCTCGTGCTGAACACATGGCCCACGGCGCTACCGTAGAAAGGTGGCGCTGCGACTGTATAGGTGGCGCTGCGAGCTTAAAGATGGCGCCACTATTCCACCAACGCCGGTCTCTCCCACAGGGTAAGCTGGCAGACATGTACTGCGACACCAGCGCTTGCCGTTCCTATCTCTACAGCGTCGCCCGCGCCTGTGATAACGGTCATGTCTCAGGCAAGGACTGCGCAGGGGTTATCCTCTACTGCGCCGAGAAAGCCACACAGGTGGCGCTCCAAGCGGTCCAGGCGCTCGGAGGTAATGGGTACATCAACGATTATCCCACAGGTAGGCTTCTGAGGGATGCGAAGCTGTATGAAATCGGTGCGGGTACGAGTGAAGTAAGGAGGCTGGTGATTGGCAGGGCGCTCAACGCGGAGTATAAGTAGGGAGATGGGGTTATAGGTGGCGCTGGTGGTATATAGGTAGCGTGGCGGGCGTATAGTTGGCGCTACCCAAATGCCACAGGCTGCGCTATCTGGAGGATTCAGGTTACGTTGCGTATTCTAGAAAGTGATGGTGAAAACGGTGAATTTAACTGCTCTCCGGCACATTCAAACGGCTCCCCAATCGACGAATGATATTTGACGCGACACTGAAGTCATTGTGACCGGTTGTATAGTCTCCAAGTTAGCTGAGTTGCTAGGATTTACAAGATAGCTAGTGTGATAGGTAAGGGAGTCCGAGTGATACGGATGATGGATGTTGCTATCCTCCAAGGATAATGGTTGTGCGTTTTGCCGGGTAGGCACAGTGCAATATGAGTCAGCTGTATTTTTTGACGTATAAGACAGTGAAGGTGGTGGAAGGACTTCGTATTGTGTTGTTAGATCTGTACAAAATAGGTGTCATGTTCCGCCGTCTCTAGCTTTTAGAGTGTCGATGATCAATCGTCAAATACTCCCGAAAATAAACTAACTTTAGATACAGTTGAATAACTTTTAATTCCTGACGTTCTGCGTGATTTTATCGCCTCTCCTGAGTTTCATCGCCTCTCCGTCACGATTAGGGCGTCGAGACCTCCAATTTTAAAGTAACACCAGCTCATGTCTTTGTTCTCCGTAGTGGAATCACTTAAACAAACCGAGTATGGATCACAATGTATTTATACTGGCAATGATGAGGGGCCAATGACGTTCAACCACGTACACTGGCACCAAGGAAACAACACTAACAACACACACTGAGCTGCGGGAGGAGCTCAAACAGCCTCAACGCGGTAACCATGGCGACGGGTGACGTCACGGGGCGTGACGTCAGACTCGCTGAGCTCAGCTGATGCGGGATGAAGTGCCTGACACGGCGAATGGCACGGAGTTTACTGAAACGGACAACAGATGGCAGTGAGGTGGCGTTCATGAAAAGTGTTTATTTTACACAATTTAGGGAGCAAGTGCCTTGTTGTGACGCAAATTGCAAAGTATAGCCATCAATTGCATCCGCCTACAACCGATAAACATAAACAACACATTCATCTCCTGCAAAGAACGCTTCAAACGTTTTAGGAACTACGACAAATCACGAAAGCTAAACCGTACCATCTAAGACTATAAACGACACTGTCCACACTACAACGAAAGTAAATCTGGTAGCAGGAGCTGAACCAGCTTATGCCATTAGTGACGTAATACTGGTCACCAGTGACGTCGCTGAACTGACCTGATGACCTCAGTATCTAGAAGTTGCCGGCGACCCCGATGTCTCCAATGGCCGGAGTTCCATCAGAGGTAGGTTGGGGAACGTTGCTCCGGACGAAGATGGGATCAATGGCACTGTCCTCTTCCGGCTGCGAGAGAGGGAGAGGGGAGGAGAGACGATATAGGTCAGTTTTCAGTTGATCTGATTTAGATACACACGATAAAAAACAGCACTTGGTGCTCTACGTTGTGTTGTGTTCGTATTTCGAAAATATTGCATAAAATGCCGTTGCCGAATAAATGATCAACGAGTGATTTGCAATGGATCTTGACCGACTCATAGCCGGTCTACGTGAGCATTAACATGAGCAATAACTGGCTGTTATATAATTCTAGCGACTTATTGGTAGATGTCAATTGAGAAAATCATGATGGATTTGGTATTACGCATATGGGTTAACCCGACTTGTCTCTCGGTCAAAGTGAAGTGTTGCATCAGGTCTCATTTGTGGTCTTCAGGTATGCTGTGTAACCATACTGGTTTGACAAAGCTGGGCGTATCATGAACAGAGGTGGCAGATGCCCGTAACCGACCGTTCAGCAATGCCTATTGGCTATTGCCTACCAGCAACTGAAGTGTACTCTCATCTGAGCAGGGGCAGTGGCGTCAGCAAGCGTCCGTAACCTACCAATTACCTATACCTACCAGCCATACCTACCAACCATTGTCATAGTGATGACGAAATAGCCTTTGCTCATATTGTACTTAATAAAAAATGACGGAAAAAATATATACTTATACAAGAGACTGATATTTGGCCCTTGTGGCTTCTTCTACTTTTTCATATATCCACCAACAACTGTGGTGCTGTCTCACCTGTTCGGGGGTTGTCGCGTCCTCTGGGGGTCCATACTCTGACTGTACCGGTAGAACCAGTCCTCCGTTAATTTCCGGAACCACCAGCTGTAAACACAGGCAGTGACGTCATTGGAAGGCACGTAGCCAGGATTTTGCTCAGGGAGGGGCCACAGGTCGTTTCCTAGTGTCGTACCACCTACAAACAAGGAAAACTCCTCGGTTTTGGCCCACTTTTTGTGGGGTGTGGTGCAGTTGTTTTTTATAATTTATTATATTTTTCGCCTTCAGGGGGGGGGGGGCCTCCCCTTGACTACGTCCCTGGTCATTATGGTTAATGACGTCAGTGGTGTGTGAAAATCAGTGGTACAACATTGCAACGAGAGGTTACGTTCGAAACGCTACTGGAAAATATGGATGTCACTCGCTGCTTTGGCTGTTTGGAGAATATCTAAGTATTGTCAAGTTGTGACCGGCTTAGTTTTAACCAAACAACGCTGCCCGTCACAGAAGATAAGGCTGGATTTGATTGACAATGGAGACAATAACATTATATTTCATAGAGCAAACTTGAGAAAATAAGTGCTGTATAAGTGGCTTGAGACTTGAGAAAATAAGTGAAAATAAGTGCTGAGAAAATAAGAGAAAATAAGCGATAGGAAAATTGAGAAAATAAGTCCCCTGACCAGATTCGAACCCACGTTCCCCGCTCACTAACCCGTCCACCCACCTGCGGCACGGTGTAGTCCTGGTCTGGCTGCGCCGTCTCCACCACCTCACCGCCGTCGACCCCGACGATACCGCCGTCGACCTCGACGATGCCCCCGTCGATAATCGTCTCGCTACTTCCGCCATCGATGATCGTCTGGCCACCATCAATAACCTCCGTCGATACTCCGATCACGGTCTCGCCTCCCTCAGTCACCTGGCCCTGTGATTGGTCGACCGGAGCCGGCGCGATGTATGATTGGTCGACCGGTGCTGGGGCGACGTATGATTGGTCCACAGCTCCGCCCACCTCGGTGACCGGGCCCAGTGATTGGCTGACCAGTGTAGGCTGTGGAGAGGGAGAAATGTGATTGTTGGGTGGCTTTGTAGTGCCTTCAGTTCTTGCATAGAAAAAAAAAAACAGACTGAACTAAACCGGTTCTAGTCCCCAATTGTCAAATTCTTGACTAAGCCCTGTACCTACGACTGAAATAGCCCAAAAGCCTGCCAAATTCATTCAGCAGCTTATGCTAAAATATTGCTAGCTCCTTTTTCAGATAAGATCAAGAATGCAAAGCACAATGCACTGCAAAGCTCATCTCCTCCGTTTGTTTGAACACAGCGCCAGACTCACGACAGCAGCGCCTCTGGTGGCCGCTGCGCTAACTAGTAACTCACCACGCGGCCTTCAGAGGTGCTGTAGCCCTGGCTGAGGTCGGGAGCGGGAAGCTCGTGGATGGCCACAGGTGTAGGTGTCCCATAGGTGACGTCTGGGACGGGGGCTGGGGCAGAGTAGCCTCCGGTCGGTGCTGGGAAAGAGGGGGAGAGCGTCAGACATCGACAATGGCTGTCTTTATACGCTAGAATCTTTGGTGTCAGCAAGAATGCTTAGGTTGACAAGCTTAAAAACCGTTTATAGGTATATTGTTTAGTGCCACATTCAATGCTACGCCTGTAAATTGTAATGATTGTTTTCTCAATGTTTGCCACGGTTGTGGTCTGTTACGATGTTTATCCATATGTATGTTTGCATTTATTCTTCATTGTTAATCGTAGATATTTATATCAGTGTTTATATCACTTATATAAGTTATAACGCCTCATCCCTTGAAACTACGCCCCGAACTCACCGTGCGTCTGGGGTGCGCCGTAGTTTCCAGACGGCACCTGCGGGGCGCCATAGCTTCCCGAAGGCTTCTGTGGGACTCCGTAGCTTCCCGAGGGCTTCTGTGGTGCACCATAGCTTGGCTTGGGAGCGCCATAGCTTCCAGAGGGCTTCTGAGGGACGCCATAGCTGGGCCTGGGCTTCACCGGAGTAACATGTCCATGCCCATGCCCGTGTCCATTCCCATGTCCATGTCCGCCCTTCGGTGGGCCGTAAGAAGCCTTAGGAGGGCCGTAAGAGGGCTTAGGCGGACCATAAGAGGCCTTAGGAGGACCATAAGAAGGCCTAGGCCTCACGGGCCTGCGGTGGCCATGACCGTGGGACTTGGGAGGACCATAAGTAGCCTTAGGAGGACCATAGCTTGGTCTGGGCGCCACGTGACCATGCCCTCCCTTCGGTGGTCCATAACTCGTCTGGGGCGGCCTGTAGCTGGCTTTCGGAGGACCATAGCTTGCTTTAGGAGGACCATAGCTTGCCTTGGGTGGTCCATAGCTTGCCTTGGGTGGTCCGTAACTTGCCTTG